AAAAAAATGGTGAAATTTTGGATTATGAGGGTGTTTAGAAAAGAAAATTAAAAAATCGGGAGTCAAAACGCAATTTAGAAAAATAGCGCCACGTCAGCAGTCGCGTCAACAGGCCGATCAGCAGCCCCGGCCAACCAAGAGGCGCCGTGTGGCAGGGACACTGACGCAGAAGACCACGCGGGACGAAGACACGTAGACAATCCGCGTGAGCGCGATCGGACGACCCAGATCCGTTCCCACGCGCATGGACGGTCCAGATCAAAGGTGCGCGTGGACGGCCCAGATATCACGCGTGCGGACGGTCCAGATTTGATCATGCACGGACGGCCCAGATCGCATCGCGATGGACAACTCAGATTTATTTCTAATTTAATCGCGATCGGACGACCCAAATTAAATCATGATGGACGGCTCAAATTGAAAGGGGAGGGTTATAAATAATCGCATCCACACCCAATCCCAAACCCTAGCCGCCAGAACCCTCGCCGGAGAAGATGACCTAGCCAACGGAGGAATCGGCCGCCGCAACGGAGGATTTTCTGGCTGCCAAACGAGGTAAAATTTCTCCCCTTGGCTCATTTTTTGATGCTGAACCTCCCTGTGGCCAAATCGGAGCCAAACCACCAGCCGATTATCGGAAAATACCGTCGAAGTCCAATAGCGCCGCCGCGGGTTTCCTCAGTTTTTGCCTCCGATGAGGCCTTTCTCGGTTCCCGTTCGATGTAATTTTTATACCACTGTGATCACCGTCCTTTTCTCTACAGGTTGACCGGAGCAAAACACGAAATTGCAACTCGCGCTGGAGGAGCCGTTGTACCCGAGAGCTTCGCCACCGGTAAGTCTCGCTTTTTTGGAATTTTTTGGCCCACCGAGGGCCCTAAGGGTGTTTTGTCACAGGAATCAATGCAAGTTTGGCCGAATTCGGCTAAAAACAGCCAACACGAGGTGGATCGCCGTCATGGGCGGTGGCGCCATTGCTGGAGCACGGCGGAGCCGCCGTGCTGGAATTCCAAAATTGGCCGAAAGGGCCCTAGGTCTGATTTGGGATTTTTTGGGGACATGTGCAGGTACCGGAAGTGTGTTTCAGTTTTCAGAAAAAAATTCAAGGATTCTAGAGACTGCCCGTAGGGCGCAGTGAGAACCCGATTTCATACTCTGAAACAAGTAAGGATCTCTCACCCTATTTCCTATCATGGCATTAAAGCTTAATAAATGATTAAACGGTATTTTATGAATTTATAGATATGTATAATTAATTAAGATTGCTAATGGGGCCCGAACTTGATGTATTTGTCGGTCTGTTTCTGTTTGATGTATTTTACAGTCTAAATGCAGTATAGTATCTGATTGTTTATTCTGTGGTTCCGTATGCATGAATAACTATTTAATCTATTATGATTTTAATTATTGTGAACTCGATGTTGTGTTGCCTTATTTAGTGTGCTGGGTTATGTATTTATATTTATTGGGTAATTGAGACTGAGAAAAATAAGGATAGTATGTAAATTTATAAGTGGATAAGTCGACAGTCTCACTAGATATCCTGGGAGATGGTGGACGGACCGGGTCCATAGGGAACCCTACCAGGAACGTGGTCTCTCATATCGGACGGGGTATTGAGACTTTATGTGTTTTGACGCCCATACCGAACGGGGTATGGGGACGACCCGTTTCACTCTCATATCGAACGGGGTATTGAGGTTTATGGTTTTAGCGCCCATACCGGACAGGGTATGGAGATGGCCCTGGAATTAAGTTATTAATGTGAATGATTCACGTGTAACGGGGACCCCCTATGGATCCCCATGGATACTAATAGGCTGATAAAAGATGAAATTTGTTGCCTGATGATTGAAATACAAAAGCATGATATGTGTTATGTTACAGAGTGTGCGTGATCTTATAATATTTATGATATAATTATTTTCATGAATCTCACCGAAGTAAGTGGACAGTAGAGAGTTTTATTATTGATAAATGAGTTTGTTATAAATTATGCTCCATTGGTCGTTTTTGTTTTCTACCAACCTTTACTTCTGTGACAGTGAGATAGTGCGATGTCTTTACTGGGCTAGTGTAGGTCATTCCTTACTTAACCATTTCAGATCAGTAGGGCTTGGTTCCTGAGCCCGTTCTGCAGGAAGACGACGAGTAGAAGCCAAAGAATTTATTAGTTTTCCTTATAGCATTCATTCATAATATTTCTTTTAAGTTAGTTTATTCTTTCATACGTTTAATTCGTTTTGGTTATTGTGTAAGGGATGTTAATCATAATCTATTTTATTTTGCTTCCGCACTTAGAATAAATATATACATTTTCTTTTAATTTCCAGGGCCGTTACATATACTATCTTCTTATTGAGTTTTAATGTAAAAATCTTCATTTTGTGAAATCTTACTTTAAATTATTCTTTCATATATTTAAAGTTCGAAAAGATAGTTATTTTGCAAGAGTTATTGTGAGCAAAACTCTCGAAGAGTGTATCCCCTCTTATAACTTTTTGAGTTTCTTCTTGTACTTTGTATCCATGTGAGAGAGTTAAAGTTTTTTATTGTATGTACTTTGGGATTTGCAAGGAGTAGTGTGATGACCTTTTGGTTAAAAAAAAAAAAAGTTGAGTATTTAAGAAAAATACTTGAATGATGAAACTAAACACTTTAAATTAGCATTTGTAAAATGTGAAGTTCAACACTTAAAAACTAAATACTTGTAAGAATTTGATAAAATAGTAAAAATACTCAAGTAGTTGACTTAAAGAGATGACATAGGTGCACGTGAGTGACGAGGACGAACCTCGCTAAAAATCGAGTTTACAAATTCTCATCCCTTATCTCTTAAATTTATATATTGAATTTGATTTACAAGTTATAAATTGATTTTTATTTGAGTAAATAAGTTTGATCTTGTGTATTTATTTAATTTAATCTTTTAATATATTTGAATTCATTATC